AGTGTTGGACTCCGCCAGGGCTGTCTTTTGTCACTGGTTCTGTTCATTACCTTTATGGACAGAATTTCTAGGCGCAGCCATGGTGTGGAGTCTGTCGAGTTTGGTGGCAGGAGAATCTCATCTCTGCTTTTTGCGGATGATGTGGTCCTCCCAGCTTCATCCAGCTCTGACCTTCAGCTCTTGCTGGGTAGGTTCGCGACCGAGTGTGAAGCGGCTGGAATGAGGATCAGCACCTCCAAATCTGAGATCATTGTTCTTGACCGGAAAAGGGTGGCTTGCCAACTCTGGGTCAGGAGAGAGGTCCTACCTCAAGTGGAGGAATTTAAGTATCTTGGGGTCTTGTTCACGAGTGAGGGTAGGAGGGATCGGGAGATCGACAGGCGGATTGGTTCAGCGTCTGCAGTGATGCAGACGCTGAACCAATCTGTCGTGGCGAAGAGGGAGCTGAGCCAGAAAGCCAGGCTCTCGATTTACCGGTCGATCTACGTCCCAATCCTCACCTATGGTCATGAGCTTTGGGTATTGATCGAAAGAACAAGATCGCGGATACAAGCGGCCAAAATGAGTTTCCTCCGTAGGGTGGCCGGGCTCAGCCTTAGAGATATGGTGAGGAGCTCGTACATTCGGGAGGGACTCGGGAGTAGAACCGCTGCTCCTCTGGATCGAAAGGAGTCAGTTGAGGTAGTTTGGGCATCTGGTCAGGATGCCTCCTGGACGCCTCCCTGGGGAGGTGTTTCGGGCATGTCCTGCCGGCAGGACACGTTGGAGAGGTTACATCTCCAATCTGGTCCGGGAACGCCTTGGGGTCCTGCCAGAGGAACTGGTGGAGGTGGCCGGGGAGAGGACTGTCTGGAGCTCCCTAGTTGGGATGCTGCCCCCGCGACCCGGACCCAGATAAGCGGAGGAAGAGGACCACGATGAGAAAGGAGAGGAAAAGGGGTACATGGAGCTGGGTTTAGTTTGTGGAACACCACAATATTATAATATAAACTGTTGTACGGTATCGACGTTTGCTTTAGTTTTATTTGTAGTTTATAATATATGGTTTCCTCATCAGAGTTATTCCAGAGGGCATAGAAGAGGATTAGGACTACATGGAGCTGGGTTTGTTTTTGCAAAATTTAGAAACAGGTGTTGTTAAAGGTTTTCATAATGAAGAATTTTATACAACACTACGATGAAAAAATACAAACAGTTGTATCATGATATTTATCAAATATGGTTATATATTGGAAAAATAATAAACATCTAATTAAAAAAGTGATTTAAATAATTATTAAACACTCAAAAAAGTATTAAAAATTGGTATTGTAAAGTACCGGTATCAATTCGTAGGTACCGGGAATTGGCACAGTATCGATTCAGCTGTCAAAGGTACCCATCCCTAATCAATGTCAGTAAATCGGTATCAGCAAATATCGGTTATCGGCGATAACAGTGATCTTAATATCTGTACGGGCCCAAAAATGTCATATCGGTGCATCACTATTAAAAGTACTGTATTAGAGATCGTGTTTCAGTTTAATTTTGGTTTCTGGACATCATCTCAGGACCCCAAACTAATAATAAGATTCCAATCCCAACTTTGAGTTTAAAAGAAATACTGCATTTTCTCAGATTAGCTACAACATGCTTTAACAACAGGGTCATGGTAAAAAAGTACTAAAAATCATGGAGTTTTTTGCAGTTGTGTTTTTTAGAACTGGTGAAACAATCAACCACTTTAATCATTTATTTTACACATCGATCCTGACGGACAGAAAGCAGCAAAACTTGTAGAGTAATTAACTGGTGGCATTTTTAGTCTTAAGTGTTTGTTTGTTTTTGTGGGTCAAAAACTAAAGGTTTGGTAGTCAGCGCTTTATAGGCCAATGATGTGTTTTTGTAATTTGTGTGTAGCATTTACAAGCTGTTTATTGACCAATTAAGGTGCTAAAAATCCTGAAAACTCACCTTGAAAATACATGAAAAGTGCTTGAATTTAGTTTTCTTTCTGCGTTGATAAGTTTTGCACAAAATTTTGAATTACGTTAAGACGATAAAAACAGCACTTTTGTTTTAACTTTAAAACTATCGCTAGGTTAGGGTAACCCTAACCCTGTCACAAATTAAATATGAGCTAAGAAACTTGACTTCCTCATTCAGACATCAAATGACAGATAACTTAAGCTTTTTAAAACCTGATTATGCTTTACGTTTCTGATGTCACTTAACAGTTATCCGTAAGACACAAAACAAGAACCTTAGAAAGTTCCCACTTTAAGGTTCAGAGAGTGCAAAGAGATTTCTTCATCTCTGAAGTGGAAAAGTAAAGTCCAACAAATCTGAGCAGCTCTCTTAATGAGATCATTTCACTGCAATGGAACAAGAGTCGCTATCGACCTCGCAAACCTAAACTTGTACAATGAAACACTGAAAATAAACGTTTTTAGGTGTTGTTGACTGTAAAATTTACTGTGATCAGGCCTTTTAATTTCTCTTTGAAGCTAAAAAAAGTCGGTGCTTATTGTTTTAGTTCTGCAGAGTTCCTTTTAAGATAGAAGAAGGCAAAAAAAAAACGAATGCTAACAGCTATTTTGTATCAGCACGAGTACGAGTTCAGCAAGGAATAAACAGATTGCTCAACGTCTGGTTCAAGGCCTTCAGCTGATGATTGAGCCAAACCTCTCTGCCGCTCCTGCCTTCTGTTACTCAATTTCCTGATGACGGTCTGCTTTAATTCAGTTAGTCATCAAATACTAGTTTCCAAAGTCATGAAGTCGACTTATAACACATAAATGGATAATTATCTGGGATTAAAATTGGAAAACCGGTTCTAAATTGGTCCCAAGGACACCTGAGCTTTAATCCCCCCAAAATTGATTTTAAAAGTAAAAAAGAAAGTGAAACCAATCTGAACATTTTGTTATAGTTCAAATGTTTTGAGACAGTGAGAATATTTTTTAGACCCATGGGTTATTTTTTTTAATAATTGAATCAGTTAATGCTGATTGTCTTGGTCAAACAAAACCTAACGATGTTCTTTATATTCAGTAGTCTAGTTTATAATTAGTCCTGCACGAGCCGAGCGCCCTGCTCCTGCCATGTGGTTTTGCAGTGCCACAGTCTTAAATAGATGAACACTTCATAGGCCAACCGCCGTGTTTGTTTGTGCAGAACATCCTGTTGCAGCGAGGTGTCGAAGCAGTGATGTTTTTGGTTTTAATCACGATTACAGTCCTCACGTCACACAGGTTTTCATGTTTGTGGGTTGTTCACACAGACAAACGTGCGCTAATGTTGCTTGTTTGTAACAAATAAGAAAAATGTCGTCTTTTTTGTTTTGTCCACAGTTCTGTGTAAATTCAGAGCATCTAAAACACATTAAAAGCAGCCTGTCACAGTCAGACTGTGTGTCGTGCGGCCTCTGCCTGCACGGTGGCTCTGTGCGTCACAAGGGGATAAAAACAACGAGGAGGCGTCTTACGCATTTTCCTGTTCACGAAACACGCATTAGATCAGATGAGTTGGTGACATTTTTAGCCTTAGCTCTGTCTCTCAGTGTGGCCGCCCACTTGGCTGGCGCTTTTGCCATGAGGGATTTCCTGCTCAGCGTCCATTGCACAGCAAATGCAAGGCCCGTACCAAAACAGTGCGACAAAACACGGCGAGACTAAACAGACAGGATTGGCTGTCTTTGTTCTATTTTGGGCATAGACGTTGAAGAGCCTCAAGCTGGTTTATGCACTGATCAGGTCACTAATAAAAACGGTTTTGAGAGGGTTTTTTTCTGCTTGTTGACGTCACCCTCTGGCCTTGCTGCACTCAGACTCACCTCTCAGTTTTGAATATCATTTACAAAGTGTGTCCGCGTTGAACTACTTTGTTTTTTTCTGTGTGTCGTGCCTGTGGCCGCGTTGGCGTGGTCGTACAGTTCACGTATGTTCAGCCTGTGCCTGTGTGGTTGTCCATGCTCCTGTTTGTCTGTTCCTGTTTCAACACCTTCCACTCCATCCTCATCTCATGCTCTCTTTCTAACCCTCTCTCTTTCTGTCAACATTTCGCTGTTCCTCATCCTCACCCTCTTTCTCCCCTCCTGCTCTCTCTCTCTCCCTCTCTCTTTCCTCTGCAATAACAGTGCTGACCTAGTTTCTGCCTGTTCAGGGCTGCCTGTGGAATTTTACAGCGGCCTGCCTTCCTGGCAGCGTTGCTGCTTGCAAACCAAGACAGAAAATCATGACTGAGGGTTTTTTTTTCTTCTCGTCACATCACAATGGCATCAGGAAGTCTTTTCATTTCTCCACATTTTAAATAAATGATCATAATTTAAGTGATAAAAGTCGTGCGGTCTCCTCTATAAGCACGTCTTCTAACATGATGTTGAATTAGAATGGGAATGGTCTATTGCACATCTCTTCGAGCTTCGACTGGACCGGATGCAGAGTGCAGAAAAACACCCAATCTTTGTGCACATGCACGCTGCCTCCCTCGCTTCTCCTCTTCCCTTCTTTCCTTCCCTCCGCCTTCACAAGTAAACGGTTCAGAATCACGCCTGGCACGGTTTCGCCACTGCCAGGAACAGGGCTTCCGCTGAAACAGCAAAGAGAGCGGGACTATTTTTGTGTGTGTTAAGGTCACAGATCTTAGCGAGCGCACTATTCAGGGGGATCTTGATTAAATCGAACCATATTCCAATTAGGGATAGGGACTGTTGCGTCAGAACCGAGAGAGAGAGAGATGGATCTCTGGAATGCCATTTTGAACGCTCGGCTTTGGTAGGCTGAAATTTAAACCAGCACTGCCGCACATTCATTCCTTCCCTCTGCCCTCTGCCTCGTTTCACTCACCATTCCTGGCTGAGCAGATCAACATTGCCGGGGCATTTAGTTTGCTTTGAGGTTTTCTAAAAATGTTCCTTTAGGGTTTGCTTGTGCAAAAGTACTGAGTTTGGTTATTTATTTAGATGCAAATGCCTTATTTATACTAATATTAGTGTCTCTGGTATTCTTTTTTGTTTTTAGACTTTGGGGGCTTGCCATGGTGTCCGGTGAGAAGGCGTGGGACCCCCACCATGCGGGAGTTTTTCAGCCGCCTCTGAGTGAACAGCGCCAGGCTCCTGACCTAAGTCCCCTCTACGACTACACGCTCAGTGCTGCTAAGGACACTGCAATTCAACAAAATCAGCTGTTGTCAACTTTGTCTTCCCCGCCACTGCCGTTAGTGGCCCTCAACACCCTTTGCCAAACTGAAGCCTCCTCAGAGTTACTTCCAGCTGTCAGTTTGTACAGCCTGAGTGGAACTGAAGGACAACACAACCCCGTCCGCTGTCCTGGTGGGGCCTCCCAGTCTGAGGAAGAGGAAGCTGAGCAGCTGGACATGAAGGGAAAAAGGCTTGGGAGTCGTGTTGAGGGTACAATGGAGGAGAAGATGGAGGATGTGGGCGATGGACCTAAAAATGCAAAAATCACCCTGAGCTTCCCTCTCAGTGCAGCCCCCCTCCCAACGTCTCTGGCCTCACCAAATCACTCTCATAGCTCTTCCTCATCATCCCCTTCCCCCCACCGCAGACGACTGTCCTCTAAGAGCTCAGACAAGGGGTCGCTGTGGAAACTGGACGCCACCATGGATGTAAAGCACAGACCTTTTAAGCCCCCGAGACATGACAATTCTCCGTCCTCCTCACCGTCCTCCTCCTCTTCCCCCATGACTGTTCCTGCATTTATGAGGAAGGAAATAAAGTCCCCACCTCCTCTGAAGTGCTCCAAACTGAATTCGGAGACTCAGATACACAGGTCACCTACGAGATCTTCCAGCGGACCTTTAGGGGGCTGTTTTGGTGGGGAAGGATGGGGTGAGAGGTACAACGGTACAGCCTCACCTTCGCAGACTGCCCAGATCCTCTTCAGTCTGGGCACGTCAGCCTATCAGAGAGGCGGAGAAGCAGAGAGGAGAGAGAAGCTGACAGGGAGGCCAGCTGGGGAAGCAGGAAGCCCCCACGGACCAAGTCTTCACCCACCAACGCTCCACCTCCCTCCCCCCTTACCTCCACCGCCTCCCCCACCTTCAGAGGGCCTTACTGCCCCTCACTTGTCCTCCTACCCCCCTACCGACAGCCTGAAGCCAGAGCTGATTTGTGGTGTGTGCCATCGGCTTTTCAGCTCAGCCTCCTCCCTCACGGTCCACATGCGGCTGCATCGTAGCAGCCGCGCCCTCAGCTGCCGCTACTGTGGCAAAGTCTTCATCCACAGCAAGAGACTGCAATCCCATGAGACATCGTGCCGGGTACCGGGCCTGTCGTCCGACAGCCTGCGTCCTCCTCCCCTCACTGTACAGCCAAAGGAGGAGCCGCTGGAGGAGGGTGAGGTAAGAGTGGAGGGGGGAGTAATTGTGGGACAAACAGACATCAGCAAGGCACGGCCCGGGAAGAAGTCACGGAGCCTCCTGGCACGTATCCAAGGTGATGATGCAGCAAACGCAGAGCTGCTGGCGGGCGATGAGAACCATTTTGTGAAGGTTGTGGATGGCAACGTCATTTACTTCTGCTCTGTGTGTGAGCGCTCCTACATGACCCTGTCCAGCCTGAAGCGGCACTCTAACGTGCACTCGTGGAGGCGCAAATATCCGTGCCATTACTGTGACAAGGTCTTCGCTCTGGCTGAGTATCGCACAAAGCACGAGGTGTGGCACACGGGAGAGCGACGATACCAGTGCATCTTCTGCTGGGATGCGTTTGCCACCTATTACAATCTCAAAACACACCAGAAGACCATTCACGGTATAAATCCGAGCCTCATCTCCAGTGAAAAGACAGCTAATGGGGGCTATAAGCAGAAAGCGAATGCTCTCAAACTCTACCGCCTTCTTCCCATGCGTTCCCAGAAGAGACCCTATAAGACTTATAGTGACAGCTTGCACAACGGCCTTCTACTTCCTCCAGGTGACACGTCCTCTCTCTCCCTGCCTGGACTGGGCTGTGCTATAGACCCCGGAGACCTACACAGCCTCATCCCCTCTCAAAGTGTGAAGCCTGATCCAGATGCTTTCCCTGATGGCTTTCCTGTTTCTATTGCTGCTGAGCACAGTGACCTCTCTGCGTTATCAGCCCTACCCTCAACTGATGAGGCCCAAATTAGAAAACATGAGAGTGAGACTCTGGAGTCAGATCAGGACAGAGGCAGCATCAAAATGGCTAATAATAGCAGTAAAACCAAAACTCCTAAGAGCGCTAGAGGCTCAGAAATGAGTATGCCGTCTGTTATTACATATGGCCACACAAAACCCTCTGTTATAGTTCATGGAGCAGCAGTCTCATCCTCCGTTATTGTGCATAGCAATCAGATAACTTCTGGTAGTGACAAAAGCCCAGCGAACAGCCCATCCTCTGAAACAAATAGCAACCAGACTTTAATTAAAGCTAGTCCAAGGCCAATCAAAAAGCAAAGGGATAGGGATAGTACAGATAATTACAGAAAGAGGTCCAGAGACACTTCAGATGCCACAGAAGGGAGCTCAAGAAGTAGACAGGACACTGAGAAAGGCAGATTATTTCACAAATCTCGCAAGTCCCATAGTAGGAGTAATATGCCAGTCTCAAAGCAGGTTTCAGCAACTGTGGGGTCACAGGTCAAAGAGGCAGGGCCACTGTGCCAAATTACTGTACGCATTGGTGAGGAGGCCATAGTGAAGCGTAGCATCTCAGAGACTGATCTCAGACGAGACAAGAGCTTATCCCCCCCTAAAATCAAACGGAGCGAAACCTCGTCCACGAAGGAGGAACGCCAGACGCACTCCCACCACCATCACCATAAACACCGCAGAGCCACACGGGAAACAGAGGGTGAAGAGAAAGCAGGAGACTGTGAGCAGGAGGAGGAGGTGAAGGTGAAGGAGCAGGAAGAGAAGGAGGCTCGGCAAGATAGCTCCAAATCACCTGACCAGGTGAGGGAGTACTACTTCCGTAAGGGGGTGCGGGAACAGGACAGTGACAATGACATGGAGGATAATTTATGGCGACCTTACTACTCGTACAAGCCCAAGAAAAAGGCTCAAGCACATCTACAGAGAGTCAAGAGCTGGCAACGGAAACTAAAGTACAAGCGCTCCATCCGCCTGAAGAGGAGGGCAGAGAGGCTCAAGAGGCTTCTCAATAAACAACCCGAGAAACCACAAGAGCAAGAAGATGACGGGACAATCGACGACGCCGAGAAACTGTCAAAGACAGGCAAGGACAAGAAGGAGGGAAAAAAGATGAAAGATCTGTCTATCCCTCTAAGTGAAAAAAAACCTGATGCAGAAGAACAGGTTCAAGAGGCCCGTCACAAGGTTTCCACCCCTCCCGTGCCCTCTCCAAAGCCTCCTCTGTCTACCTCAGCAGCTCCCACAGGAATAAAGAGGCGGCCTTGGACTAATGGGAATGCAGCAGAGTGTGGCACATGTGGCCGCTGGTTCTCAAGCCCCAGGAAGCGAGACAAACACGAGCTGAGCCATCTGCTGGAGTTTGTATGCCTCTTCTGTCGAGCCACTTTCCCCTCAAGGGACAAGTTGGAAGATCACCAGAGAGCCCAGCATCCTAAACCTACTGAGGCACCCTCTGTGCCCTCTAAATGTGGCAAGCAAGTGGTAAAGATTGGGATCAAGTCTCTCCCGGAAAGTGCAAAATATGACAAGGACAAAAGAGGACAAGCGAGCTTGGAGGGAAGTAATTCTAGCCCCAGTCGTATAAGCAGAAGAGCATTATCACGACACACCTGTTTACAGTGCCACAAGGTGTGCAAGACATCTTCAGCACTAAATCGCCACGTCCGACGTCATGAATTAGGCAGTTCTCCAGAGAGAGAAAAGGAAGACGTCAACCCAGAACCGATCCCACCACAGACATTTTTTAACAGGCTTTGTGCCGACTCGGAGATGGATGTGGGACAAATTCCCAGTGCACTCTCTGTTTCAGTTATCAGCTACTCAGCACCAGAGGCAACCAATGGAGGACAGACCGAAGACCGTCTAAGTGAATTTACAGACAAACTTCAGGCATTAAATTGCTGTGAAAGATCGGAACCAACCCAACTCCCATTTTCCGCTCCGGAGAGTGACTTCAGACCACAAATTGTCGACCGTCCTCTAGAAAGTCCAGTAAACTTCCCATCCTCTAAACCTGAAGTCTTGCCTTCCACGCCCTCCCCCCTCCAGAGTGTGCTTGTCATGAATGGACCAGAATGTCTTGACTATCGCACCCCCAGCAAAAAAGGTCTAGACAGCCAGATCCAGAGAATACCCAGCCCTTTGCACTTTGCTACATCCACCAACACCTCTCCAAATATGCCCATGACATCACAGACCAGAATAATCACTGCTGCTCCTCCTGTTTCCATGGCAACAACTCCTATCTCCGAGGGGGGATTCATGAGACGGGATGGGGTCATTATAGACAGGGAGAGGCAGATGGGGAGCGGTACAGTTTTACACACAGGTTACGAGGAATCACCTGTGGTCCAAGGGCTCAGAGTCCAGCCCCTCTCCCGGAGTTCCTCGCCTGACGAAGCACAAGACCTGACCATGTCCTCTATTTTAGCACGAGAGAGGGAGGTAGAAAGGCAAATAGAGGCAGAGAGGGAGCTGGAGAGGCAGCAGGAACGGGAGAGGAACAAAGAAATTGAGAAAGGAAGAGCAAAAGAGATAGAGAGGAGGAGAGTTGCTCATCTTCCCCAAGATCAGAATTCCCTCCTGGTTCCTAAAGAGGAGCCACTGAGTCCTGTACCGTCTCCCCAAGATATCTCCCCTCACACCCTTGTGAAAGGACCCTCTTCACACAGGAACACTCCCAAATCCCCCTGCCGGTCCCCCTTAACCATTGGACTGACAGCTCAGGCCAACCGGCCGGTTCATTCCAGTTCACAAGGACTCGACAGGCCCCCGCTGCCTACTGGAGCAGCTGGTGCCAGTGACCGCCCCTCTGCACACGCTCTGCTTCTTCCCCGGGCATCCCAGCCACCTGAGCTGGACCACTTGGACCCTGTTTCTTCCATAGATTCACAGCAAGAGGATGCCACCCCAACTGGCTACCTCGCCCAAGATTACCCTCTTCCTCTCATTGTGCCGGACAGCTACCACTCTGTTAAGAAGCAGGACGAAAACCTGCTCATGTCCTCCTATCCACCTGGAGTGCTGCCTTTTGGGCCTCTGGGGAAAGTGATAGTACCTAATGGCGGTGACCTGGCCAAGCTGCCGTTCTACCCAGACCCATACCAGCTGCTCTACGGGCCCCAGCTCCTAGCCTACCCCTATAACTTGGCAGCGCTTCCTGTGGCGCTGAACATGATGGCACCCGGAGACGACAAGGTGGGGCCTCTGCCATTCCTCCCTGCCATCTTCAACTACGCGGCCACCGCTGGGCCCTACATGGGCGCCACCCCTCACCCCCTCGTGGCAAATCCTGGCCTCTATAGCGGCGGCAATGGCAGCAACAAAAAGCATCGAGACAGCAGCAGCAGCAAACAGTAGGACACAGATGCACTATGATGAGAACAGCTCCAAGGGGACAGCCTCATCTGTTCTGGCTGGGAGAGGACGGGGTCCATGCTGACTTGCTCTATCAGTACACTTGCACATTACCCTCGTCTCTCTTTTATTCAGCCAAGATCAGAGCTAGGAATTACGGGAGCTGGCGTGAAGAGGAGAGGAAGGAGCTAAGAAAACAGGGACGAGAGACCAATAATGAAACCAACGTATCAAAACTCCCCGACCTTTACTCCAGCTCTTCTTTCTCTCCCGTCCCTGTGTTGTGTTGTAGCGCTCAAGCTTGATCATCTCCCTCTCTGACTCATTATAACATCTATGATATAAGACCTGCTAACTGTGTGTTGTGTGAAAAATCAGTTCAGTCCGCATCCCTTTATAGACAACACATAACGAGGATAAACGTTCTTCAGGGAAGGTTTGCATCGGCTCGGTCGTGAGATTAGTCAGAGGAAACACACAGGCTCACATCCCTCAAGCTATACGCGAGCACGTCCATGCACACGTCTGTAGGGGTTTGTGCATGCAGCGTTTGGCTTAAGCAGGCATAGCTGTGTACACGTGGAGAGTGTGAGTGTGTTTGTACGAATCTAGATCATTCCGTTTGAGACGCACAGCCTTCCTACTCTAGTTGGAATATCTACTGTAGGTTCATGTGTAGAAATGCTTTATAGGTGATTTCTTCATATCCAAATTATTAATAAGTCAAAAAAGGAAAAGAAAAAAAAACTATTGTGGCTGGGCTTGAGTGTGTGTGTGACGACAGATCGTCAGCAAACCTGGTGAGACTGTTGGGTCTGTAAAAGCATTCAAAGTAGTTTATACTTTATGTGCACAAAGTAGATAAGTAGTGGTCACGTAAAGGGGACACATGTAGCTGCTTTGGAAATGTAGCTGGCCACTGGGTGAGGGTGAATGGCTGGTAGACCGTTGCACTTCCGTTTATCATCTCGTTTCTTTCAAATAGTTTCAATAAAAGGAAAATAATAAAAACCAGTCAGCCTTTGTCTTGTGTAGCTTTTTCCTCTGAGAAGAGTAAAAGGCCAGATTTTTTTTAGGAAGAATATTAAACAACTGCAAAGGAGACAAAAAACCAAGAGATTCAGGGTATTTCTGGATAGGAACACAAATAAATGGGCACAAAACCGTTGAGACTTTGAATCAGACGGGTCCAACAAGAGAAGATCCAAGTTCGAGGGTAAATCATGGCTTCCGTCAACATACTGAGCGTTAGGAAAAGGCTGAGCTTAGCAGCCAAAGTGGTGGGCCGAAAATGTTCCAGATGCCCTCCTGGGGCCTTTTTGTTACGTGTAAGATTATCTTTATATGTTTGTTTTGTTGAACTATGTTGTTGTTTATGTTGTTTAGCCCTCTTACTGGATGGAAGTGAAAAAAACTGGGTTTTGCGGTGGGGACGGAGTAAAAATATGAATGTAAATTTAGTGACGAGGTTAATGAAGTACAGCTGCATTAATGGTAGAGTTGGTTTCTGTTTTTATTATTTTTGTTTGTTTTGACACAAATAACCCGTTAAAGAACCGTATAACGTCTGGTATGCATATATACAGTAGTCCTAGAAACATGTCAGTAAAACTTGGGTTCTGTATCCACAAAGCATGGGCGACACTCGCTTCCTAACTGTTTATATCCTCAGCAATTCTGGCTTTGTGTGCACAGCTTTTCTTTTTTATGTTTTCCACCCGTTTAGTCTCCTACATCTCTGTTAAAAATCAAATTTTTCACATTAAAGGAAACAAAGAAAAAAAGTCACTTTTAGCACATCCTGGCTCGCTGCACCTCCTCTGAGTGTGTGTGTGTGTGTGTGTGTGTGTGTGTGTGTGTGTGTGTGTGTGTGTGTGTGTGTGTGTGTGTGTGTGTGCAGTCAGGACCTGTAGGAGCTTTTTGGTTTCTACAAAAGTGTAAAATTGTTAAAACACATTGTGACCGTGTGAGGAGGGGTTGTTCAGGCATCCCCTCCAGTGTGGTTACAAGCCTTTTAGCGTGTGTGTGTGAGAGAGAGAGAGAGAAAGAGCGAGAAAACCAAAATAAATCAGCCTAAGCAGCGTGTATCCCTCGGCAGAAAAAAGGCCACCTGTTAAATTTATTTTCTTTAATTCTGCAAAACATTTCTGTGGGGTAGTTTTGATGTAAAATGATAATATTAATAATAAAAGCCTTGCTGTTTCCAGTACGCTCTCTCAAGCCATTCCTGTAGATGGACATGTTTGTGTTCTGGACCATTTCTTATGCCATAGTTTGTCATCACAGACCAAAAGCATGCAAAGTCTACGTATTTGTGGTGACTGGACTGGAATCTGGTGGTAATATACAACTATTTACTGTATGTTTTAGTTCAAATGAATGTGCCTCTGCTTTGATATTTAAATAATTATCTATTGTAAGATGTGGATCGGCCTGATTTCACCTGTTAAGGTGCCTTGTTGTGGCATAAGAAATTAGAATGGTAAACAAGAAGGTATTTTTTTGTGTTTTGTCTTAAAGAAATGAACACATTTGGAGACAGAGTTTATGGCTTTGTTTGCATTGAAGCTGTTGATAGATGTAGGGGTGTGGCTAAACTGTTTTGGTATTGTGTACATGTCTAGGGTAATACTGTGCCATATAGAGCCCACAGAATATGTTCATGTTATTTTTCAAAGATGTTTTAATGTTGCCTGATGACTTTGTCTTTAGATTTGATACGAAGGCTCGTAGCCACAGCTCTCTCAAAGTCTGTAGTCTGTTCCTCCTCCCCCCTCCCTCCCTCCCTCGTTTCTGTCTCTCCCTTTCTTTCTCTTTGCTGCAATCAAACAAAATAAAGTATTAACCTGATGACCCAGTTAAATCTGCACTTCTCTGGTCTTGTATTGTATTTTTAATGTTCATTAAGTGTTCAGTGCAAACGCATCCACTCTGACCTGCCAATACAAATTCATCTTTCAGAAAATTAGAATTAGTACTTTAAAAAAATACTTTTTAACTTAAAAACTATTCTGAGACTAAACTCTTCCACATGGAAGATGTGTTATCGCTAACGCGACCAGAACTGTTTTCATGTTGTTGCGTAGCAACGTTGCGTTAATGTTTTAAAAGTCTTAAGTTTAAGTATGAAACTAATCATCGATTTAGCTAATCATGCTAATTGGCTAATTCTGGTCTCTAGTTTACAATGTTTGTCTTTTGTGGAGATTTTATCTAAATAATTTAATTTACAAACCAGAAACTGATTTTTCAGATGTAAAACTATTTGATAACATTTTTAAAGCTGTATACACTTTGATAAGTTTACATCCAGATATATTTGCTGTTTGCTTGTTTGTTTTGTTTTTGGTCGTGCGGAGATAGAATTTTGTGTCTGTAAAAT